TCAATATTTTAATTTGGAACTGTTTTTACAATTTTGCTTTAAAATGTTTAAACATTTTTAATACTTTATTATTTTAAAACCAATTAACTTTGTAAGTACGAATAATGTGTGTATGTGTTTGAATTGTTTTTTTTTTTTTTAAATATTGCATGATCATATCATTTTATTAGTTAATTACAATTTTTAGTAAAATTGCTGATTTACAAATGGGTTATTGGTACAAATAAATAAAATTTTTTGTGATTTGATTTCTTTTTAAATCAAACATTGTTTTAAATTTATACTTATTGAGTTTTCTTAATATTTAATTTTATTTAAAAGAGCATGCAATTTTTTTGCAGAATGTGGTATAGATGAAGAAGTATTCAGACAAATAGATAATGATTTTTTAGATCAGTTATTTGATAAATCTGAATGTGGATTCAGGAAGAAATTTGAAATAAAATTGGGTGTTTGGAGAAGTGATGGTGGTTTTTTGCATGACGAAAAACAAAATAAATGTTATGAAAAATCAGAATTAACAAATGAACACACAAATGATTTTGCTTCTGAATCTACTAATTCTTCGCTCAATCATGATGATTCACTTGCCACAATAGATCATAACACGCATACTATATCTACAAATAATATCTCTAATATGTCATTACTTGATCTGATAGAAGTTGAATCAACTGTGAACGTGATCACAGTTATGCGTATGTCATTTGTATTCTAATCTTTATAATGTAGTAAATAAAATTTCTTAATTTCATTTATATAATTTCTTTATACATGGTCTCTTTGTTAAAATTTTCAAATGTATATTTCAAACAATATTTTTTATTTTTATTTTTATACAACTAATTCATATAATTTGTCATTAAATGAATGCAGTTGCTAACCCTCAAATTTAAATTTAATATTTAAAGTTGTTATATTGTCAACAATAAAAAATTAAAATCATTAACATTTGACTAACTATACATGACTAACATTAACATTTAACTAACATTAACAAAATTTTGTATTTTTGTAACTATACATTGACTAACATTAACATTTAACTAACATTAACAAAATTCTGTATTTTTTTTACTACAGTCTAGTAAATTTCTTAAATAATTATTTTTGTTGTTGGTTGTTTGTTTGCTTAACAGCTAATAGACCAGTAAAGAAAATTGCTGATTTGCTGAAATGTACAGTCAAAGGCAAGATAATTATGCAAACATTTAAATTATTTAAAAATATTGATACCAGGTTACTATCGGATCTTGTAATTGATAATGAATTTGAAACTTCAGGATATAGGTATGCAATTAGTTTTATTAAAAAAGAGATTTCAAAATATAAAATTAATTTTATTTTTATTTTATTTTATTTTATTTTTATATATCTTCTGTTTACTTTCATCTAAAATCATATTTAATATTACCGAAACAAGTATAAACAAATGTAACAAAAGTCTTTGTTATTTGTTAAAGAAGAAATAAATAGTTTGTTATTTTTCTAAAACAAACAAAATATGTTAATATTTTTTATTGTATTTTAATATTTCTTTATTAACAGAATAACTAAAGAAAGATTTATTGAATTGGCGAGAGAATTGGCAGAAATTTTTGTAGTGCCACCTAAAACAGTTGAAGAGGCAGCAAAATTGTTTTACTATCCTTTTCAAAAAGCAATAGCAGGTCATAAGTGTGTCAGTGCTGGTGGTATTCTTTATGATAAATACTTCAACTATCGCAGAAAATTGATTCACTGTCAATTAATATCACCTGATGAACAACAGATAGAAGATGCATGTGGCTTACAAAATAAGTAAAATCAAGCTTTGTTTGGTATTACTTATTTTGAAAAAACTCGTACAATTTCATTTTATAATTTTATTTCTCGATTTTTAGATACACCTATCGAATTTGCTGAACACGCCATAAAATGGCTGGAAGTCAATGATAAGCCAGAACAAGAAGTCATCACGAAATGGAATAACACATTTCATTTAAGAGTCCCTTGTAAAAACGTAAAGAATTATTTTTTACAGTTTAAATGTTTAAGATCGACTTTTGGCCACATACTAGTGAGTTTCACTTTCAACTTCTTAACATTACGTAAAAGTAATGGTTATACATTTAAATATTATTATATTTCTAGTTATCTTATGATTTTGACACAATTTATCCCAATGCGAAAACTAAATTTAAAGAAGAGTGGGACACAGTAGCTCCATTAATAATACGTTGTGCTAAATCAAAAAATAAATTAAATTCATCAGATGAGGAATTAATTGAAGCAGGTATATTATATTAAATGAAATGTTTTTATTTAAAATAAGTATTATTGCAAATATAACTTGAATTAATTTATAAAAATTTGATTAACACTTTGAACATTTTAAAATAGCGATGTTTTTTATATGACATATTATAACATATTATGACATATTATATTGTGTGCAAAATAGATTATTTAGGTTAATGATTGATTTTATTGTTGTAGGAAAAACGAATATTTTAGCACTATTTTGTTTATCGAAAATTCTCAGGACAATTCTTCGCAAAAGAAAAGATTCTGATATTACTTTTGGATGTTTGTTACAAGATGTAACGAATTCCTTTATACTTCATGTTAAGGTATAAGTTTAAATTAATTAAAAATAATAAGCACTTTTCTTCATTTTAGTTATAAAATTGTATAAATTATAGTTTATTAATTTTTCTTTAGTCGCTTGATGATTTAACGGAGTTTAAGAATAGAAGAATTGAAGAGTCAAACAAAAGTGGAAATAAAATTGGACCTTACGTCGCAATTATTGGAAATATAAAAAAAATTGATGATGAAGATGAAGATGAACAGGAATATAAAGTATTTTTAATTATTAATGATTTCAATTTTGAAATAAAATCAAACAGTGTAATTGAAGCAATCGACTATTGTTTTAAATCGTTTTTTGCGCTGAAAATAGATTTTTCTGCAGAATGCAGGCACTTATGGGTGTTTCTTCAAATTTATTTTTATAAGATTGAGTGTCAAAAAGTCAAAATGTATACTACTGTTACAAAATTTATTAATAGATTGGATGAACTCCGCAATAACGATAGTTAGTTTCGTATAATAGTACATATATTTCATTTGTTTTATGAAAATTTGAGTATTTTTCAGATTTAATATTTATATTCACATATAAAAAAATATTTTTTGTAATACTGAACAAATAAATGTTATTTTTATATTTCATTGTTGCATTTCTGTATTTATTTACAAAATGATTAATTTAGAAGACGAAATGTTGAAGCTTACATTGCAATTATACAATAATCCTTTAATATCATTAAAGACAGTACAATTTATTGTGGATAGATTAATAAACTTTATTAATGTAATATATGTGAGGTACATTGAAGAGAAAGGAAGCCAATTAAATAAGAGTACACATGAATTAACTAATATTATTAAAGCTATATCAGAAGACTCAAAACAAATTTTTAACAAGTTTAGTACAGAACATCTTAGATTTGAATTATATAAAGAAAAGGGTCTCTTAACGTTTTCAAAAAAAAGTGAAATTGGCCGAACGTTTAATAATATAGTTGAAAATAATCAAGTATGTATCACGGAGAAAAAAATTTATGCTTAATATATTCCTTTAAAATGGAGCTTGAAAGTAATGCTCGAAATACCTGGAATATTTGATTTGCTAGTAAGTTATATGAACGAATTAGAAAAAGAAACAAATATAATAAGTAACTTTATTCAATCTGATTGTTGAAAAAATTAAAATGTTCCAGGGACTTCGAAAACAAATTTGTAATTCCGCTTTTTATGTATCAAGACGATTTTGAAACAGGCAATCCTCTCGGTTCAAACGCAGGAAAGAACAAACTAGGCGGTGTGTACGTATCTATACCGTGTTTTCCTCAATACATCACATCTCAGTTAAATTATATATTATTAACAATTTTATTTTATGCTAATGATCGTAAAGAATACGGAAATAAGAGTATTTTTCATCCATTAATAATAGAACTAAATGAATTAAAACATGAAGGTTCAGTTATAAACGTTAACAACAAACAGCATAAAATTTTTTTCCAGTTATGTTTAATTTTAGGTGACAACTTAGGTCTTAATGAGATTCTAGGTTTCACTAATAAATTTTCATCCGGTAAACCTTGTAGAATTTGTAGTGCCTCTATAGATCTAATTAATGTTTTAACTAGAGAAAATGAGCAGCTATTAAGAACACCGGCATCTTATAATAAAGACTGCAATAAAAAAAATTCTAGTGAAACTGGAATTGAAGAGTCATGTGTTTTTCATACAGTAAACGGTTTTCACGTTTGTGATAATATTTGTTTAGACATAATGCATGACATTTTCGAAGGTACTGCTAATTACACAATGGTAAATATTTGTCGCAATTTGATTTATAAGCAAAAGTTATTTTCTTTAGAATTTTTAAACGACAGAACGCAAGCCTTCAAATATGGTTCAGTAGAAAATTCTACTAAAATACCTGTTATAAAAAAAGAGCATTTTAAAAGTAGGAATAAATTTAAAATGTCCGCAGCTGAAATGATAGCTTTTACTAAATACTTTGGGTTACTGGTTGGTGATAAAGTACAAGAAGACAACAGTGTTTGGGATTTATATATTATGTTTCGAAAAATCGTGGCTATCGTAACTTCTCCACGAATTGTTCAAGGACATATAATTCAATTAGAAGTATTAATTCCCGAGTTTTTGTGCTTGTACAAAGAATTATACGGGTCTTTAAAATATAAATTTCATAATATGACTCACATTGTTCGCTGTTTAATGAAGAACGGACCTTTGGTATACTATTGGACTATGAGATACGAGTCAAAGCATAGGCAACTTAAATTTTCAGCTGTCGCTATTAACAATAGAGTCAATTTAATAAAAACTATAAGTAATAGAAGTCAATTACAATTGGCATATTTACGATATTGTAACGATCAACAGTATAATCGCCTAATAATTAATAGCAGTGAAGATATTGATGCATATACACGAAAACTATATTTTCCGAACAGTGCAGATGGTGAACGCATCCTATCAACAATATTCATTGAATTTAAAGGATTAGAATATAGAATTAACATGGTTGTAGTAGTAGAAATAAATGATAATATGCTTAGTTTTGGAAAAATTTTAAATATTTTCATAAAAGACGAGAATATATATGTACTATTACAACGTTTGAACAATATTTGTTTTAATGAGCATTATTATGCGTATAATATTGAAATATGTAGAACATATTTTCTCAAAAATGTTAATGCTTTACCTGATATTCATCCGTGCATTTTAATAGAAGGAGAAAATTCTACATATTTTGTTGCTACAAAATACATATTGTAAATAATTAAGATAATTGACAATGTCTGCTTTTGTAATAACCAGATTTTATTTAAAAAAATTTCTTTCCATCACTTGAAATACTTTTTTTCTACATTACATTATTTACATTAGCTTTAATACTTAAACAGTTGTATAGTTATCTTTAATACTTGTTGTATAGTTATCTTTAATACTTAAACAGTTATAAGTTCTTATATTTAAGGTCTATCTACGCGCTCGAATTAGCTGAATTATAAAAACATGTAACTGATATTAATGATTAATATACACATAATAAAACACTTCATAACATTATATAATATTTATTTCATTAATAAAATTTATTGTTGTACTAATGAATAATGTACCTCAATTATATATATATATATATATATATATATTGTCACGACTTTTTACCCGTTCGGGCGCAAAGCCGGATCAAAAGGGAGTTGCGGGAGAGTAGGATGTCAGGCCTCTCCGACGGATCTCTCGCACGAACCAAATTTCTAACGCGAACGTGAGTGTTGGGCGCCAGACGCGGTATCCCGCGTCCACTAACGCGAAATTTATCACAAATTATCCAAACGTTTATCGTAATTAAACGGCGTGCGAGAAATCGACCAGCTCGGCGTATTACTCAGGGACGAAGGTGGTATAGGGCAGCGCGAATTGTGACGGGCGACACAGAAATTACGAACTCAAACAATTAATAACAAAAGAGATTAACATTTATTGCAAAGAAAAAAAAACAATTAGCTCACGAGATTGCTCTAATAAATTAAAGAACCGTTGATTCATCTCTCACAAAAGCGAAATCATATAGACGTGAATAATCGTGAGCGTGGAAGAATAAATCAAAAATCGCTACAACCAGGAAAATAATAACTCCGAAAACAAGTCAAATTTTCACGCGATCTCAGACGCCAAGTTTACTCCAGAAAGTACGCAGGATCGCGATTGTTCAGAATTCTGTCGCCAGGAGAGAGTATCCCCGAAATACGAGGCGCAATATAACACAACGACGGGCCAATAATCAAGCCCGAACGCGACAGGTAACGCGGAATATCTAGGTTTTATCGCGCAGAGGAAATCATCAGCGCGAGAAGAATATCGTACTCAATCTAACGAATTTTTACGTGACATACGCCCTACGCAAAAGAGTACTTAATTCAACGCGAAAGAAAGAGTATTTTCCGAGGAGAATAGCGCTAAACCAGCGCGAGACTACACAACGCAATAATGTCTTGACGGATTTACAGACTAACGCGAAATAAACTAAATCTAACGCAAGAGATGACGAACTTACATACTAACGCAATGTACAACTAAATCTACGCAGGGGAAAATATCTACACGAGGAAAACGCGAATTTGACCGCAAGCACACGAGATTACGGAAACGGCGTAACGCGAAAGAATCATTCTCGACGAATAAACTACGATCACGAGAGTCGCGCGTGACGCACCGCCGGGTAATACGCGATCGCAACCACAGATACCGTAAGAATGTTCGCGAATTACCGAATCGAGATATCTATCGCGATCTCCAGGACTTTCACGCGATGAGTACTATTCACCGGCCACGAGACCATTCCAAAGCCCTTCGCTCTCGCTCTCGATCGCAGATGCAAAATTACGAGATCTCAGTTACGCGAGTACTTTAGGCGAGAGCGTGGCCCGGAGGGCGGTGCCGTGGCTTACATTACTACCGTCTATTACGAGGCAACCTCACCGGTAAGATACTTCCTCGGTCGGGGTTGTCCTCTCCGCCGTCACCAAAAGCCGTCGCGAGAGAATCAGGCACCAAGTGCGCAGCAAGAGTCGGTCGAGAAGCGCTCAAGAAAGCCGTGCGTGTCGTCCCGAGGGTGGCTCAAGAATGATCGCGGAAGTGCGCTCGATAGAGGCGTCGATCTAACGCCCCTAGCGGGACATGCGCGACCCTTCCGCGCGATAAGCGGACCAATTGGCGATGAGCTCGCAAGCTCGCGAGGGAGTCGCTAGCAGGGTTATCGACCGTGGATTCGGCGGGGCGTTCGAACGTGCCCTTCGCGCTCGCGGGGTCCTTCCAGGTTTCCCCGTTGTAGTAGGCAAGGCGATGACTCCCGCGGTGTCCTCTGGCTCGACTCGGGGGCGGTGGCCATCCACCCCCAGAGTCCGTCTGGCCTCGGAGGACTGCAGACAGGCCCGGCGCCGGGCCCCTGCAATGCACAGGTTCGCCTGCCGTTGCTGGCGCGCAGCGCGCGCATCTCACGTCGTCCCTCGCTTAGTAGCGGTCCTCGTAACTCGGGCTCCTCGCCCTCGACATCTCGCTTTCGGTTCTTGTGATTCCGTTTATCATCCGGCTCTCCTGGTACTCCTCGTCATCTTCAGCGTGGCGTTGGAACTCCAACTCGACGGGGTGAGGCGCCACGCAATATCGCAAGAA